AGTTTGATTTAGTAATGATTAATTGAATCTTGACAATAACTATAGAAATTGAGTGTACTGAAAAAATGAATCTATTATAGGGCTTATTGCTTGGTATTTTTTGCAAAAATTCTCTCATCAATCACTTTTGACACTCAAATGGTTAATCCTTGCCACCCATCTTTAGGATTTCATATAATCTATCTGAGTTGTTTTTAACTTTAACTTATAATTATTCATTTTATATTGAAAAAAGTTTAACATACCTACAAATAAAAAATTTTTCATATATAAACATTTTTATTAAAATTAAAAGTAAAAGAAAGTATAAATATTGCTATAAAAATAACTATTCAAAATCATTATTTTCAGTAAAACAGAAAATATTGCTATTTTTAGGTACATGGGGTCTAAAAAGTGGGTGGTGAGGGTTAAGCAATGACAAAGATAAGTTTATAGTTGACAAATAGAAACATTGAGATAACGTAATAGCATTATTTTGTAAATATTACTTCTAAAATGTACAAGGCGATAAGTATAAGAATAATCTAAAAATATATTAAAAAATAAATTTTATAGGCTATCACGAAACTAGGCTGGATGGAGCCTACATTAATACAAGAAAAAGCGATACCTCTGTTATTGGAAGGGAAGGATCTCTTAATTAGGGCTCGTACAGGTTCAGGCAAAACTGCTGCCTTTGCAGTACCGCTTATTCAGAAAATATTACTAAAAAAACGAACACAAGAGAGACAGGAGATTAAAGGTCTAATCGTTGCACCTAGCAAGGAATTATGCAAGCAAATTCATGATGTTATCATGAACCTAACGATAAAGTGCTGTAGGGAAGTCAGAGTGATTGATCTTAGTCTACAAATGGATTTGAATTCGCAAAAACTTTTACTAAGCGAAATGCCAGATATTGTTGTGGTTACCCCAGGTCGATTATTGCAGCATTTAAAAGCAAAAAATTTGATGCTGAAACATAGTCTTGATACATTAATAATCGACGAAGCTGATTTAGTATGTACTTATGTCATAGAATTTGTAAGCATTGCAAAGTGAATTTAATCAGATTATACCATTTAATATATAATTATATTATTGATACAGCTATTTTCATTTGGATATGAAAAGGACATAAAAGCTGTGTTAGCTTACTTACCAACGGCATATCAAGCAGTTTTGGCGTCTGCCACGTTGTCTGAGGATGTTCAAACTTTGAAGAAATTAATTCTGCACAATCCTGCAATTTTAAAACTAGAAGAGCCACCGTTAGCTCCTCCTACACAATTGGCTCATTATACGTTGGCTGCAGAGGAAAATGATAAAGCTGCCATTTTATATGCCTTATTAAAATTATATTTAATTAGGTAATTTTACACACACACACGCACACGCACATGCACGCACACGCACGCACGTTTAGTAGAGTATATAATATCTTCTAATAGAAAATTATTCTTGCCAATTACTGCAAATATATTATACTCTTTTAATTTTTTATTAGGGGAAAATCTATAATCTTTGTACACACTGTAGATAGATGCTACAAATTGAAGCTATTCTTAGAGCAGTTTGGTATTCCAACGTGTGTTTTAAATTCCGAGTTACCAGCAACCTCAAGATGTAGAGCGGTTTCGCAATTCAACAATGGCGCTTACGACATTATAATAGCATCGGATGAGAAAGTCTTAGAAGAGGTATGCACATAATAAGGAATTGTACTTTGTATTATTTTGTTCATATACATATCTCTTGTAGCCACATGTGATAAAACCGAAAAAAAGCAAACGAAAGAAAGACAAGGAATCAGGTGTAGCGCGCGGTATCGATTTCCAATTCGTATCCAATGTAATCAACTTTGACTTCCCATTGGATTTGAATTCTTACATACACAGAGCGGGACGTACCGCACGCGGGAAGAATCAGGGAACTGCTCTTAGCTTTGTAGCTATTAGAGAGAGACCATTGATGGAAGAAGTTGAACAGGAATTGAAGCACACTTACAACTGTGAAAGTCTATTTAAAACCTATCAGTTTAAATTGGAAGAAGTAGAGGGTTTTCGGTACGACTCAATTTTTCTGATTTTATTGTAACATAATAAAATTTTGAAATTATAGTTAGATTTTTGTAGAAGAATATAGGTACCTTCTTTATCTTTTTTTAGTTATATATATTTTTTAATTTTGTATAGAATTATTTTCGACGCTGATCTGTTTTATTTTGCGAAATTATGATGATTTCAGATATCGTGCGAAAGATGCTTGGAAAGCTGTTACAAGGATTGCCGTTCGAGAAGCGCGATTGAAAGAAATTAAACAGGAAGTTATGAATTGTGAGAAACTAAAAAGTTACTTCGAGGATAACCCGCGAGACTTGAAGTCATTGCGCCAGGACAAGACGTTGCATACTGTGAAATTGCAACCGCATTTAAAAGATGTGCCTGAATATATAGTACCACCCACTTTGAAAAAAGTCATGGGAATGGGAAGAAGGAAAAGAAAATTTGACAGGGATGCTGCATCATCGGGAGCAACGAGTGCTAAGTCGAGACATCTAGCTCGCGCTTCAAATCCACTGATAAGTTTACAGATACTAAATAAATAAATCTTTGTAGATTAATTTAATCCATAAGACCGTCAAGATTATAGTATGTGTACAATCACACATACCTATATGCAAAAATTCCACTAAAAGGAATTTGCTTTTTCATTTTTAATTCTGACTTCTACTATGCATATTTATAAAATTAAAATAATTAGTAAACATATAAACAAATATCTGTACATGATTGTATGCATACAAATTTCTTGCGCATCGACATTTTCCAATTACGTTGAAATTAATTTTTCAAGTAAACCACGATTTGTTTTCATTGTTGGAATATTTTTAAATAAAATATTTATGTATTACATTGCTTTTTGATTCTTCATATCAGAACTGCAACAAAAGATTTTATATCGTAGATTATATGATAATAAATAGATATGATCCTTATGTTAATATTTCCTATTAAGTTTTTCAAGATAGTTTGTATGGGTTTTTTCTAGTTTTTCTCATCTATATAAAAAAAGCAAGATGGAATATAAATAAAATGTGTGAGAAGGAAATATTAAAATAATTAATTTTTTTACTAGATAGAAGTTTATTATTTTTCTAAGAGTTATACAAACACCACTTGTAATTTTTTAAATTATCTAAAAGATATTCTAAACTTGATTTAATCTAATTTTATTTAAATTTTTTACAACGAACGAGTGACTGCACTACTGAAGCCTCGAAACTTTGTGTATTACTTCAGGATTCCATGTTATAATTATCCAATCTTATTACGAGCCCAGTCCGGTGGAGATTGAAGCCTTACCATCCTTTACAATTTCCTCTTTTTTGAACGAATTTAGAGGAGTTCATGGAGCTGCAAGTATTACGTTTGTGACACTTTTGGGCTCATCATCCTTTTTCGCGCGCACGCGCGCCTCACTCTTCATCTCGCGAGTATCGCATTTTCGTCCATTCTGCGATCCTGCCGGAACAAAACTCTGTATCCAAGAATTCAAATCCGATGTGTCTTCTCTTTTGTGTCTAAAATTGTTCCATTTTATACATTCTAGTTTTCTCCCAGTTCTCTTTATAATGCGTTACCTTCTTATTAAAGGTGATCATATTCTACTTGATGTTACTGTTCAACATTAGAAGAATAGTGGCATTATGTTTTCGGCAATTATCCAATTCTACTGATGTTATGACCTGCTCCCATGTGATACAATGAAATAAAATGTTATTACATCTTCGCGTTGTTCTTCGTGAGGCAGAAGACACGTCTCTTGTTGACCATCTTACTAATCCTTTTGAGGTGTGCCATCAAGCAATAACTATTATATGATAGACTATTATCGGGCACAGTTATTTCTCTATTTATTTCTCCATATTCATAATAATTCAGAGATTTCGGAAGATTATAGATCGTATTGTTCCTTAGGAACATTTCAATGATGTATCGACACTTAGTAAATAGTATATTCGTTGTATTTTTTGCATTTAATATTAAAAAAGTCGTAATTGAAGCTATTCTTATGGTAAAAGAATTGAGTAGAAATGAAAATAAATGATTTGAGAAGGGTGATTTTGACTTAAGTTCAACAATCAAGAAGATATTACTGTGCATCTAGTGGGACATGAAAGAAATTATGTGTTATGAGTTACTAAATACAGGAAAAATAGTAATTGCTAAGCGCTACCAACTTGTCGAAATGCCATTTACTGATGAGCAATCGTAAGGTCATTTTGCTCCATGACTTCACAAGCAGTAAAGACGACAAAAAGTGTCATCTTGAGCTGGAAGTTCTCTCTTACGTGGCTTATTTGCCAAACAATGGGTCCTTCAGATTACCACTTGTTTAAGTCATTATGTCATTTGGCAAATACATATTTCACGACAGATGACAATGTCCGAAAATGTCTCGATATTCTATCGCCTCAAAGCCGTCAAGTTCCTATCACAATGGTATAAAATCATCTCGATAATAATAGAGAATATTTGGACAATTGAGCCTTTTTTAGTCTTTTTAAAATAAAATTTTGATTTTACCTAAAAACTGGAAGAAATTTATCTCTACAACCAATATTATAAAAATATAACGAAAATGTTACATTCAACATTATGAATAATCTATCAATACAGATTTGCAGCAATTTACACTTAAATAAGAGTCATTTCAGAAGATTATATATATTATATTGCTTAATAAATAAAACATTTTAGTAAAAGTTATTAATAAATAAAATTAATATTAAATTAATAGATATTAATTGATAATACTAAAATTAAATTTAATTATATAATATTAAATTTAATAATAATTAATAATATTAAAATTAAATTTAATTATATAATAATATTAAATTTAATAATATTAAAAGAAAGTTACTAATAAATTATTTTTATAACATATATTTTACGCGCGCGATAACATACAAGTTATAAATTATTATGCAGAACTACGAATAATATATTACTCATTAAATTCCGAGTTGATAATAAAAATGATTAAAATATTTTTTTTAACATGAGACGTCACTTTGGTATGAGATAACCGGAGTAGGAATATATTTTTTGTTTAATTTACTGCTTATTGGTATGGGCAATGGATGGATATGTGGTTTAGCAGGAAATTTAGTCCCAGCGATATCAATTTCATAACATGTCGTTGGATCCATTATAAAGTCTGTTGTAACTGTGTTTGTCTGTTGTCTTTCTGCTCTAGGAAGACTAATAAATCCAAGACAAACGAGTTTCTCTGTTACAAAACCATAACTAAAAAAGTGATTATAATATAATAATGCTAATGATGATGCTATATACATATAATGCAGATAAATAACAACATATAAAATGTATGTTCAATAAATGCAACACATATTTACCCGGCCGATGTAACAGTACCAACAAATTCATCATTCCGATATAACGGTTCACCACCCCATGCCCACACATCCTTGTTCAAGTCCATGCCGTCAAGAACAAATAGAACCAATCTTCTTGTCACTCCTTGTATCTTCTGCTGTTGTAAAGCAGATTTGCCAATAAAATAGCCCTTCTGTAATAAAATTATAAAATATTTATTAAATTCATCGGATCTGACCCATTTTTGACTGTATATGTGTTTTTTTTGTAGCTGCTCTTAACATTTTTAAATCTTTCAACTTTATTTTTTAATAGATTTGCAAAATACAAACGATAACACAAAAAGTTCTATACTTTATTAAAAAAAAAACTAACAATTTTAAATGTAGAAACATATGTGTGCAGAATACAAATAGAATAGGATTAATGCGGCGATATTAACATCTAACTTTACGCTGTAGCCGCTTCCAGCTTCGTACGGCGTGACATACGGTGTCAATTCTTCAGCCCAAAACGGAATAAATCTTTCTATTCTCATGAAACGTTGTGTGAGTACACCAACATCTCGTGCACCGTAGTCTTTGCCTACAGCCATTAATGTTGAATAAACGTGCAGCGCATATTCCGAAGGTATGTAGAGACAATAACCAGATTCACCCGTATGTGTGAATGCCATCACCATAACGTCCGAAGCATATGCAACGTTTACCGTCTACCATTTTGAATAAAGGATCAATTTGAGATATCTGTACTAAAATAAAAGAAATGATCAATGTGACGATTACGAAAAGTACTCTGACCTTATAAGTGAAGGGTGAAAGATTGATGTCAGAGTTAGATAACTCGGAAAGCAGATCAGTAGCTTTCGGACCTACTACATTGATCACTGTATATTTTGAAGTCACGTCATTAAGACCTACCGAATGGTCTGTCGGCAAATGTCTATTTTGTTAAATAAGGAAACATTTATAAAAATTATATTAATAATAAAAATAATGCTTATATATTTACAGAAAGTAAAGAATAATTTATAATAGTAGCTTTGGAATTCAAATGAGAAAATCAATTCTCAGTAAAAGAATTTCTTTTTAAGAATAAAAAATCTAATACGTTTATTATTGTATTTTTTAATTTAAAATTGAATTTCTCTTTGATTCCAAACTAATATCTGTTTGTTTTATTATAACCTGTAGAATAGCACTTACCTAGACATCCACTGATAAATACGTGTCTGCTGTGACGTAGGCGAGACCATAAAATAGCTGTTTTGTCCTTGTCGTACCAACATACAGTCATTTTCATAACCACCTTTCTCATTTTGCATTCCTGTATGAACTATTCCGCCAACTGATATATTAGCATCATTAGAACACAACTGTTGCAGGTAGTCTACTACCTCTCCATGACTAGACTACAAGAAAATTAATTATTAAAAAGATAAGATAATAAAACGGGGATATAATTAAATCTGTAACATTAGAAACCGTATGTTTGATCAAATTTTGATTAATTGGACTTATGTTATTATTGCATACTTTTAATATACTTCAAAAAGTAAATTTTGATCATAAATGAATTTTAAAAAAGATTTTGATTTTTGCAGAAAAGAGCGAGGAAAGGAGGAAAATATTTAACATATATTTCGCATTCATTGATTTCGTTATATTAATCACTTACTTTGATTTCGATTTTCGAAAATGAGCTCATATCTATTATTCCGACACCTTCTCTGCACGCTTGAAATTCGTCCTTTATGAAATCAAAGAATTTTGGTTTATAAAAGCTACCTTTGGGCATAGTCGGCTTTTTCTGTCCTCCTATCAAATATAAATAAAAATAATATAAGTTTTATAATATTTCAACGATATGCTTTGTTTCAGAAGATTTAATATTTTAAGGAACCCACGTCTATAAGTAGGATCAAAGTAAAGTGGACGTTCGTAGGCCATTTTTACACCAAAAATTGCACCGCGTTCTTCTAGAACGGAATATAAGGGTGAACAACGCAATTTACGAGCGTATTTATACTCAGATTGATGAGGATATAGTATAGCATAATTTCGGCCAACTACTTCCTTCATTCGCTGCTGCAGGTATTGTTTATTGTTGTGTAAATCTAGAAATCTTTGCACATTAAACGGGAGCACCTCCTGTGTCGATTCACCATTTATTAAAGATTCAGCGATTTCTTTACCAATTCCACCAGCACCTTTTAAAAAAATATATAGTGATATCTCAAATTTATTCATATGAGAAGTGAGAATGGATCAAGGAACTCAGAGACGTTTTCAAAATCTTGCTTACCTTGCAATGAATTGCCATTCATCCCAACGGCAACAAAATAGTTCTTTACTTCAGGACTTTCTCCTAATATCCATCTACCATCTGGTGTAAAATTGTCAGGGCAATTATATATATTTGGATGTTTTATTTCTTTTAAGATCGGTAATCTATGTACAACTTTTTCCCATAATGGCTGCCAATGAGCTAGATCACTTTTTACGTGTTTTGTCCAATCTTTTGAAGGAACTCGACCGCTGCCAAACGCTGGTTTTGCATCAGGCTCAAACCAGCCAAGTAAAAATCCACCTGTGGAATTATCAATTGCAATATAAATAACGTAGGTGCATCCTAAATATAACATATACCTTCATATCTTTAATTTATCAAAAACATTTAATACAATATAGAAAATATGGAAAAGACATACCTTTCCATTCTCTCATATATGAGTATGAGTCAAAATCTCGTATATATGGTAAAGATGTACTGATTTCTGACGACAAAGGAGATACGATTGCATATAAATGTTCTGCAGGATATGCAGGAATTCGAACAGGTGGTGTACATTTTAATCCTAACTCACGGGCCCACTATGGAGTTAACGAACAAATATATTACATTAATCATACTGTAAATGCTATAATTGCATTTAGGATTTTTGCAAATATACCTACCATCCCAGCACAATTAATGAAATACTGGCAGAAAACAGTACCATATTCAGTCTTGACACTTTTAACAGCACCTTTTTCAGTCTTTACCTGTTCTACACGACAATGCTCGACATATCGTGCTCCTCCTTGCTTCGCTAATTTTGCTAAGACTTCACAAATTGCAGTTAGATTAGCAACAGCATCTTCTGGTACCCAAATTGCTCCTTCTATATCCTCAACGTGTAAGTAAGGATGTAATCTTTTCAGTTCTTCTTTGCCCAAGATCTATAATGTATTAATTATATAATTTTATAACTAGGTAATTCTCAACAATTACTACATGCTATATGTTATGCTTTACATTATAATTTAGAATATTACAAAGTATAAATAATATTAAACAGTAGAAAGTGTTTACTAATTTCATAAAATTGATTTTTTCTCGCAATATTGTCTTTTCATAGAGATTCACAGATTCATACAATATATAGTCAATTTATTCAAGCGTGAAGTTAAATTATATTAAATTAGTATCAAATCAATTGTGATCAATAATAAAAACAATATTTACTTCACAATGCAATCCAGTTGGTACATTATAAGCCATTCTCCTTTTAAGGGCCACCATTCTATCCTTAGACTGAGCCAAATTTATACTGCCATATTGCCTCAATCCTATGTCATAGCCCATTTTCTGTAGCTGCTGATATAACTTGATGCTGTATGCAATTAAGTTCCTGCGAGAAATTGGCTTGAAGAGCCCAAGTGTACCAGAGCCAAAGTGTGAGGATCCACTGCCAATTCTATAATCAAGTGATTGTCTTATCATTTAATGGCTATAACTCAGATAGTTAATTTGCTAGCCATTTCTGACAGAATTTACTGCCAGTACTGCTGCTGACATACTGTGGACAGCTTGCTTATTGGGTTTGCAACCATTTAAATGATTAGAAAGCAGCAGAGTCTGTAAGTTCTATTAGCCAAACTCAGATAGCCAAATTTGTCAAAAATAGATTTTGAAAGTGTCTACTATAAATTTTGTTGAGATTGCCAGCAACAGAATCTGCTAACAGAATATAATGACAGATTGATTACAGAAATTGAGCATAATATGCTGTTTTGTAATCATTTAACTAATGTATTTTATTTAAATGTTTCTAAAATAATAGATAAAATAGATTCTATTTAATTTATGCCAACAATCTACTGTCAGATTATGGCTGCATTCCGATATTCACTGTCAGCAACTTTCAGTACTGAAAATCTATAGTATACGTGACGTAAAATATAGATTTGCAGTACTGACAGTGAATATCGGAATGCAGCCTATGTCGGCAGGCTCTATGGATAAAACATGAATTTAATACTGATACCATCGACATGTATGGACTACGTGATCCCTATATAAAAGCCTTCAAAAAGTGTCCGGTAGAGTTGACCTCTACCTCGTACCCTCTTTGTCTGTACACACTGGATAGAAAAAAACAGCTTGACCTCTATCAGTCGCTATCTCTTTTCTTCCACCGGTGTGAGTCGCCGGTCATATTTTTCTATACCTATGCGCAGTCCATATTATATGTCGATGACTGATACAGATAATACAAGATCTGTAATAACTGAGCAAAATCTAGGTATTGCAAATCTGTTGTCATACTATAGTCAATTAGTTTATTGAGTTAATGTGAACACAGTTGATATCAATTTAACATAATATTCTGCTCGAATCTATTGGCAATCTGCTGATATATCATTAATATTTTTTGGTTTACTAGAAAAGTAATTTTGCGAGTTACGATTTAAGTTCCAAACATATAAACTACAAATTAGGCATAGATTTACGTGTTTTGCTCCAAGACGAGGACATCGTTCCATCCGTTTAGTACTAAATGATAGGCGACCGAATTGGCGACAGTTCCAGCACCGGCGATGACGATTTGTGATTGCGATGGTAGGTATGGTGGATCTTCAGACGAGTGACCTTTCTCACTGGACAATGAATTACGACTGGCGTCCGTTGATTGGCATCGTAGGCAACTCTCATCATTGTAGGTTATGTAACGCACACTGATTACCGAGCTCTTCGCTCTTAAACTATTTTTTCCGAACAAACACGCGCGTCTCGAACAGAGTAGCCTCAACATTAAACGCCGCTGAGCGATTCAAAGTAGCACGAAACACGCGTGATTCGTTTATAACTTGTGAGTTCAAAGTTATCAGTCCGAATGATGTTTCCCGTTGAAAAGAAATCGACTCAGACTACTCCGAGTAGTCCAAGTCTGAGCCGAATTGATTTGTTAAACGAAAGATGGTATGTATTGTACATGCGACAAACTTTGGAAAGGACTCCTGCATTTTATGCCTCGTGATTAAGACTCTAAATTATAGAATACACATTAATAAGATTTTAAAAACACGAGACTTTAGTTTGCTTTAGTTTAGTTGTCTATTTTTATCGTATTTAGAATATATATATATATAAACACTATATATAGGAGCTGCGCGCGCACAATGAAAGGAATAGAGAACAGGGAATTGGGAACAGTTCAATATTAATATATGAAATTTATTAATATATCCTATGTACTTTATTACCACAGAATAGACGAAGGAATAGCGCTAAGGAACAGTGATGAAATTTTATTTTATATTCTGCCATGCATATGTTAAATATTAAACTGTTCTCTATTCTGTTTCCTGTTCGCTATTCCATTCATTGTGCGCAGCCCCTAAAGGACCAACGTACAGTTGGCAAACTATAATTAAAAATTATTTATAATTATCTTTTCCAATCGTTTGAAAATTATTGGGAGAAATTTAGAAAAAGCTCCAGAATCATTTGGATAAAGTGTCAAAATATATTTTATTATTTATTATACTACTCTATTTTAATAAAAATTAATTAACAATTAAGTAAACGATATCGGAAATAAGTTGGCGCTGGAGGTTCATATTTTTTAATAAACAATAGCTCAAACGATTGCTCCTTAAGGTAGCTAGTGCATCAGCGAAATCGTAAATTTTTGATTGGCATGAAACTATAATGTTATTCTATAGGGCATTATACGTGATCAGGAATTAATTCACGATTTTCTACCACGTAATTACGGAAATATAAGCATTCAAAGTTGCTCATATCAGTTTTACATTATTTTATATGTGAACGACGTGCACAATCGTAATTCACGAGATTTTACGAGTATTTTAAAACTAGATTGAGAAGCTCTGGCTAGGCTGCGTCATCGGAAGCGTCACTCGGGTGTGCTCCCTTCTCCTTCTAACTTGCTGAGATAGAAGAAGAGGAGAGTGTGCTCGTGTGCGCTCGGGTGACGTTTGTCGGCGCCAATGCCAAAATAATCAGAATTACTAACCCAAAACTTCCAGAAAGTCATTTTTTATCATTATTATGATGGTTGAGAAACTTCGACTATATTGCACTCAATTTTTTAGATTTTTTATTACAGTCGTTTTGACAAATGTGAAGTTGGTACCCGTGTAAGACACTTCATTTTTAATTAATTACCTGTATCTGGGATTAATTACATGATGGTGTTATTATACATTTCTGGAGACTAGAAGTTGCACGGAACAAGGTGATACCAAATATACATTTTTTAATACATTAATAACATTTTTTTTTCGAGTGCTCTATTTTGACTCACGACAACGCTGTATTTACCTTAATTGCTCCTTCAGAATTAAGAATTGCTCCCTTTTTGAAATTAATATTTTTTTTAAATATTTACAAAAAACGTAAAATTTATTATTATTACTTAAAAACATATATTTCTAATAACTTTGTGCAACTAAATCCAGCATAAAATGATTGCTCCTTGCCATAATTGCTCTTTATTGCTCCATTATTACTTTAATAATTTATTGCATTTTTATTGAAAAATTAACAAATTAATTATTTCACAAGTAAAGACGCAGCCACTATCGGCTGCCTATTGTAACTATGGCTGCGTTCGGGGAGCGCGCTATTAGCGCTATTGAATCATTCTGTCTTTATCGCTCATCAGGAGTAACACAAGGATAGAATAAGCAAATAGCGCTAATAGCGCGCTCCTCGAATCCAGCCTATATATGGCTCGGCAGCCAACGGCGGAAATATTCAAACATAATATAACAACTCTATGGACCTCTATGAAGTTGGCCGGACAACTTTAACGTATCGAACTTTCATTAATTGGAATCGATTGGTGGTCGTTTGGTGGTCTTTGGTAGTCTAGTCCGATCGTTTGGTGGTTAGTCGTTTTCCTGTAAAATAAAAATGAAATTTCCGGTGTGAAGTTAGCCGGACAATTTTTATTTTTCAACCAATTTAACTTTTTTATAGCTCATTCGACGCAGAATCGTTTGGTGGTCACGAATATCACCAGTAAAACGTTTGGTGGTCAACCGT